ATATATATATATATATATATATATATATATATATATATATATATATATATATATATATATATGATGAATTCTTTACGTTTATATAACGTTGTTTTTTCTGTTATTTTATTATAATGCGTGTACTTGATTAAGTAAATATGTGTTTATAATTAATCATATACGATTGATGTAGTAACTAATGAATAATGGTGTATGTGACCAAATGGTTTACACTGTTTATTAAGTGTTGATAATCATTGTTGGTTGTGTTTAACAAACGTATATATACTTTGGTATTAAGTTGTAATTGTTACATACATTGATGATTAAGCAATACATTGATGATTAAGCAATTATTTTGGATATATATGATAACCATGGGAACTCCTGATAATCATATATGAAGAAAATATTTCGACCTAGTTGTACATATTTTCAAATTATTAGATACTTCAAATTTGATTATTGTTAAACACATTTTGATTATGATCAAAATTTTGTTTAGTTCATGAATACAGAATTAATCTAAATTTATATTATGTCTCATTATTGGGTTTGTTGTCTAAAAAAAACAGGTACAAATGGATCTGATTCTGAAGAGGAATCATTCAATAATAATGTTGTTGACTCGCCTGGTGGGAAAATCAAGTTGTGGAAACCTATTGTTCCTAAAGAATTTATGCCAGATGTAGATGTTACTTATCAATCATTAGAGGAGGCGGTTGAAATGTATAAATTATATGCAGATAAAGCAGGTTTTGGTGTCAGGTTAAATACAGTAACGAGGGTTGGTGACAAAGCCATTAAAAAAAGGTATGTAGTGTGCAACAATATGGGTAAAATACCTAACAGATCAACTGACACTTTGGATCCTGAGGGAACTGGAAGGAATAAACGAAACTCAAACTTCAGAATCACAGACTGCAAGGCATTGATAAAGTTTGAACGACTACATATGGGAACTAATGCTTGTAAATTATATGAGTTCGAAGAGAAGCACAAGCACCCCCTAGAAACTAAAGAAGAAAGACGGTA